CAATCTTTGTATGACTCAGTCCCAAATTGCTACGGGGAGACCGTGACCCAGTTGGAGTAAATCATCTGTGGTTCGGGGTTAAGGTTGCACTTGGTTGTTGCAATCCTACCTGTGTGTATTGAGTGTATCCCCACTTCCTTCCCTCTAAGTTGAGTGCCCTAGAGATGGGCAGAATGCATGAACCTGAAAGCCACTGTCCTCTGGACAGAGAGGTAGACAGGTAGACAAGCACCCAGCAATTACAGCTCAGTCATCAGTGCTGTGCTAGGGGAAGCATAGAGTTGTGTGAGAATACATCAGTCAAGACCCATTTGGAGGCAAGGTTTAGAAACCCAACTTATGTTTTAGGGGTTGTTGCAAATTTTTTTTTCTTCCAACTTTTATTTTAAGTTCAGGGGTACATGTGCAGGATGTGCACGCTTGTTACATAGGTAAACGTCTGCCATGGCAGTTTGCTGCACAGATCATCACATCACCTAGGTACTAAGCCCCAGCATCCATTAGCTATTCTTCCTGATGCTCTCCCTCCTCCCACCCCCGACCCTCTAGAAGCCCAACTTAAACCAACTTAGGCAAAAAAAGGGGACTTATTAGAAGGCTCACACTGAGAAGGATGAGTGGCAGGTGGTATCAAGGTCATTGGAACAGGCGATTTGAGTGCTGCTAGGTCTTCTTTTCTCAGTCTCTCAATTCTGCTTCTCTCTCTGTGTTGTTAACTTCTTTCTCTTAGAAAAACTTTCTTTACATAGCAAGAAATGTGGTCACTGGCAATTCCTGAGTCTCACCATCTCCTGGCCTCACCAACAGAGAGTAAATAAATCTTTGTTCAGCTTCAGTTACAAAAATCCTAGGGAATGACAAAGATTGATTGGCTTTACATATGAGTCCATCCGGCCGGGCGCAGTGGCTCATGCCTGTAATCCCAGCACTTTGGGAGGCTGAGGTGGGTGGATTACCTGAGGTCAGGAGTTCTAGACCAGCCTGGCCAACATGGTAAAACCCTTTCTCTACAAAAAAACCAAAAATTAGCCGGGTGTGGTGGCAGGCGCCTGTAATCCCAGCTACTCAGGGTGCTGAGGCAGGAGAATTGTTTGAACCCGGGAGGCAGAGGTTGCAGTGAGCTGAGATCACGCCATTGCACTCTAGCCTAGGGGACAAGAGTAAGACTTTGTCTCAAAAAAAAAAAAAAAAAAAAAAAAGATATGAATCCATCCCTGCATCAATGGAGTGTTCCTGGAGAAGTAGAATAATGTAAAACCATATGCCACACAAAAGCTGTATGATGATTTAATGATAAACCAAAACGATTAACATCAAGTACTTTAGGTTAATAGTCCTGTACTAGTTATCTATTGCTGCATAATTAATTACCCCAAACTTCGTGGCTTAAAACAACAATAAATATTTATGATTTCACATAGTCTCTGTGGTTTGAAATTTAGGACTGACTGAGCTGGGTGGGTCTGCCTCAGGGTCTTTCATGATATTGCAGTCAAGGTGTTGGCTGGGGCTACAGTCATCTGAAGGCTTGACGGGGGCTGGTGGATCCAGTTCTAAGATGGCACACAAGAGTGAGCTCACTCAGTTCCTCCCTATGTGGGTTTCTCCACAGGCAGCTTGAGTGTTCTCATGACATGGTGGCTACCTTCTCTCAGGGTGAACAAGCCAAGAGAGTGCAAGGTGAAAGCCACGACATCTTTTTTTTTTTTTTTTTTTTTTTTGAGAAGGAGTCTCGCTCTGTCGCCCAGGCTGGAGTGCAGTGGCATGATTTCAGCTCACTGCAACCTCCTCCTCCCAGGTTCAGGGGATCCTTCTGCCTCAGCCACCCGAGTAGCTGGAATTACAGGTGCATGCTGCCACACCTGGCTAATTTTTGTATTTAGTAGAGATGGGATTTCATGGGGTTTCACCATGTTGGCCAGGCTGGTCTCGAACTCCTGACCTCAAGTGATCTGCCTGCCTCAGCCTCCCAAAGTGCTGGGATTACAGGTGTGAGCCATCGCACACGGCCTCACTTTGAATTTCTGAAAGAGGGATAGAATAAATAACCATAGCACAGCTTCCTTCTTTTTTTCTTTTTTCTTTTTAGAGATAGAGTCTCTGTCATCCAACTGGAGTGCAGTGACATGATCTCGGCTCACTGCAAGCTCTGCCTCCCGGGTTCAAACAATTCTCATGCCTCAGCCTTCCAAGTAGCTGGGGCTACAGGTGTGCACCACCACGTCTTGCTAATTTTTGTATTTTTGGTAGAGATGGGGTTTCACCATTTTGGCCAGGTTAGTCTTAAACTCCTGGTCTCAAGCAATCCACCTGCCTCGGCCTCCCAGAGTGCTGGGATTACAAGTGTGAGCCACTGCACCCAGCCAGCATAGATTCTTTCTCATTCTCCAGCTTTTCCTCTAGTGGGCCTTTCTCCCGTCTGCCATCTCGCTTTCCTTCCCTCTAGAAGCATATCAGACTGCTGCTTGTCTCCTGTTAAAAATATAAGCTTCTGGCCAGGTGTGTTGTCTCACACCTATAAGGCCAGCACTTTAGAAGGCTGAGGTGGGAGGATTACTGGAGTCGAGGAATTTTAGACCAGCCTGGGCCACATAGTGAGACCCCTGTCTCTACAAACAAAATAAAAAAATTAGCTGGGCATGGTGGTGGATATTCATAGTCCCAGCTTCTCAGGAGACTGAGATGGGAGGATCACTTGCACCCAGAAGGTTGAGGCTGCAGTGAGTCATGATCATGCCACCTCTCTCCAGGCTGAGTGACAGAATGAGACCCCGTTTAAAAAAAAAAAAAAAAAAGGCTGGGTGCGGTGGCTCACACCTGTAATCCCAGCATTTTGGGAGGCCAAGGTGGGTGGATCACCTAAGGCCAGGAATTCGAGACCAGCCTGACCAACATGGAAAAATCCCGTCTCTACTAAAAACACAAAATTAGCCAGGCGTGGTGGCGCATGCCTGTAATCCCAGCTACATGGAAGGCTGAGTCAGGAGGATCGCTTGAACCCGGGAAGCGGAGGTTGCAGTGAGTCAACATTGCACCATTGCACTCCAGTCTGGGCAACAAGAGTGAAACTCTATCTCAACAAAACGAAACAAAACAAAACAAAGATAAAGAAAAATAAGCTTCTGGTAAAGCAATACAGTTTCATCTGGAGTTGGTCATTCTTGACCCTCCAAAGCCTTCTTTTCCATTTGTTCAGTACACATCATGAAAACCTAGGAATGATTAAAAAGGAAAGGAACACATTGTCTCATGAAGGTGGGTAGTCAGTCTAAGGAAGTTCTGCAAGAGAAATTTTACAAAGCTCTCTATATTGGTCATGGTGCTGGATGATACTGAGTCATAAAGTAATGAGTATTATTTGAAGGCCAATAATCATTCACACGTGAAAGTTTGGGCTGCTTCTTTAAGATATGTTTGTGTGGGGGAAACAAGGTACAGGTTAGTAACATCTTATACTTTCGGTTTTTGCCAACAAATACGAGACCTTCCAGTTTTAGGACTTACCCCATCTCCTCTCATCAGTGTGACTTTGTTGTTATTTCTTTTGTGCAGGTTATTTGTCATGGCAGCAACTCAGTTTATTTAAAGTGTTTTATCATATTTCTGTGAGCTGGTTATACCATCTTGAATTATTTAATTCAGAGTAAACACTGAGGTGGTGTGTATGTGAAAGAGTCTACACCATATGTGTTTATGGAAATGTGCTTATTGAGATGTCGTTTCCAAGCACAGCATCTGCTCTTGTGCATCTTTTATATTATTTTGCATGGAGTCTATACAATAATTGATCTCCACCATCTGATAGTTTTCCTTTTCAGACAGTTTCCCTTCTTATGTTCTTGATAAATGATAATGTTTAATATTTGGGAAGAAAAAAGCATCTGAAATAAAAATAAGAATGATCAATAAAATGTCTTCTGAGTTATTTAATTTCCATTATGCAGTGCATGCTGTTTAGAAAGAGCTGAAGTCTGTGCATTTAGAAGAATAAGGTTTTCTGAATATTATCTCAAATGGAAAAGCCCAAGTTTACTCAACCTGTGATTCACACAGAGGTCTAGGTCTCTTAGAGACTGCTGAAAATAAAATCCTCCTCTTCATCCTTTTTCTATGGACTGAACATTCGGGCTTTGGGTTCCTATAAATGTACTCTGAGTTCCTGTTTACAGTGTTCCTAGGCATCCTGCCTTGCTGCACAAGATGGAGTTTTACAATGTCCGGTGTTACCTAATGGCTTCTTTAAATTGCAGATTCACCTTACCATCCTTGGTTGTCTCTATGGAGAGAAAACTTAGTAAATCCCCAAATACAACCCCACAGAGACCTGTACATGCACATGTGCTGAATTCAGAAAACAATGAGTCATGCAATCAACTAGTGTTCATCTATCTTCTTAAAATAGCACTTGAAGTAATTTATTATTAATAACATTTCCTGCTGGGCACAGTGGCTCACACCTGTAATCCCAACACTTTGGGAGGCTGAGGTAGGAGAATTGCTTGAACCTGGGAGGTAGTGGTTGCAGTGAGTCAAGACTGTGCCACTGCACTCCAGCCTGGGTGACAGAGTGAAACTCCATCTCAAAAAACAAAACAAAACAAAACAACACAACATGTCCTGAGTTTTCAAAACTAGAGAATTGAGCCTATCTAGGGGATCAGCTTCTTGATTTATCAAAAATATATTGGTTCAAATGCAGTAAAGGAGCTGCAACCATCTTAACTGTAAAACTGGAGAGGGACTCAAGCACCTTGAAATGTCATGTTCACTGACATCTCTGTAGTGTGGTTTGCAAACCACTGGCAAGATGCAAGATGATTTTAGGTGGTGCATGGATATGCTTTCAAATGATTTAATCATCGTTTACTTATCCTGGACTGAATAATCTCCCTTTCAAAATTTATGTCTCACCAGAACCTCAGAACATGACCTCATTTGGAAACAGGGCCTTTGCAGATGTAATTAAACAAGGATCTTGCTCTCTGGTATCTTTATAAAAGGAAGAAGAGGGATATTTGGACACAAAGACACACAGGGAGAAAAAGGTCATGTGACTATGGAGATAGAGATTGGAATGATGTCTGCAAGCCGAGAACACCAAGAAGCCGGGAAAAAGGCATCAGACAATTTTTCCCTGAGAACCTCCAGAAAATCAACACCTTGATTTTGGACTTCTGGCCCCCTGAACTGTGAGAGAATACATTTCTGTTGTTTTAAGCCACTTGGTTTGTAATGATTTGTTATGGTAGTCCTAGGAATCTAATGCATTTATTTATTTATTTATTCATTCATTCATTCATTTATTTTTGAGACATGGTCTCACTCTGTCGCCCAGGCTGGAATGCAGTGGCAAGATCATGGCTCACTGTAGCTTCAACCTTCCAGGCTCAAGAAATCCTCCCACCTCAGTCTCCCAAGTAACTGGGACTACGGACATGCACCACCATGCCCAGATAATTTAAACAATTTTTTTTTTTTTGTAGAGACAGGGGTCTCTCTATGTTGCCCAAGCTGGTCTTGAACTCCTGGGCTCAAGTGATCCTTCTGCCTCGGTATCCCAGATTGCTGGGATTACAGGCGTGAGCTATTGTGCCTGGCCATTTAAAAATATATTACACAAAATAAACATGATGGTATTATAAAACTTGTGATTTCTCAGCTGTTAATGTTTAGACTAATAGTCCCTAAATTTATTTAGGCAGCAAAAAGTGCATTGATTAAAAAACTTAATTTCATAGGAGGTAGGGAGACATTGCAAAAATGCTGTGAGTGGTTCATGGATGGATAAGCAGTTTGGGAAAACACTGCTGTTTGCAGCCTGTGGCTCCTTCAACCTGTAGTGGCATGGTGGGAGATCTAGGTCAACATTTATCTGCATTCCTAATAACTCTGTGACTTTGGGTAAAATATGAATAATGGCCATGAGAAGTCCCATCTTCCTCAGCAGTAAAAATGGGAACAGTAATAAATATCTCACAGGACTTATGTGGGGATTGAGTTCCTTTTCCTTCAGCCTTGAAATATCAAAAGCTTAGTTATCTGAACCAACTCTGCTGAGTGTGGGGGTGGGGGTGGGCTCCTGGCAGCTGGGTTGATGTACAAAAGAACATTTTGTAATCATTGGCCTCAAATGTGGGTTGCCAGTGATAAATATATAGGGCTGAGCAATATGGGAAGTGAATTGTGGTAAAGTGGTAGGAACTGATGCAAAGAACCTCTGATGAATCACAGCTGAAGTCAACTTTCTATTATTTCTGGGTCTTATCATGCATTTAATGAGTTACAGTGTCCTTCATTTCTCCCTCTTTTCGATATGATCATGTCACAGTTCATAAAAGTGAGGGAAAGAACTCTAAATGCAATCTGACTTCTTAGATGTAGGAAAACCTTCGTGAATTCAATGTTAATTTCTAGAAACACTCTAGGATGGTTTACTAAGCAGATGATATGTGAGCACTTAAAGGATAATATTTCGATAATCAGGAGTTGCATGGATTTTCTGGGATTCAGAATTACTTTGACCACTCTAAGCACTTGTCTGAAACCAGCAAGGTAAAATGGAGAGGGAATAATAGAGGTAAAATCTATCGTTCGCTAGCAAATGGGTAGGCACTTTGTTAAATGTTATCTCATTTAATCAGCGCTGAAACTCCTGAGTGTAGATATTGCTATTAAAATGCTTTTTTTTTTTTCGAGATGGAGTCTGACTCTGTCGCCCAGGCTGGAGGGCAGTGGCATAATCTTGGCTCACTGCAACCTCCACCTCCTGGGTTCCAGCAATTCTCCTGTCTCAGCCTCCTGAGTAGCTAGGATTACAGGCACCTGCCACCACGCCCAGCTAATTTTTGTATTTTTAGTAGAGATGGGGTGTCACTATGCTGGACAGGCTGGTCTTGAACTCCTAACCTCGGCCTCCCAAAGTGCTGGAATTACAGGCGTGAGCCACTGCACCTGACCGATATTACTATTAAAATTCTTATTTTACAGATGGGGAAACTGACTTGATGAAGTTAAGTGGCTTGTCCCAGATTTTGTAAATAGAGATTAAATAATTCATTCAAGATCATTGAACAAGACAATCTATCCCTAGAGCGGGCACACTTTTCTCTCTCTCTCTCTTTTTTTTTTTTTTTGACAAGGTCTCACTCTGTCACCCAGACTGGAGTGCAGTGGCATGATCATGGCTCACTATATCCTTGACCTCTCAGGCTCAAGCAGATCCTCCCACCTCAGCCTCCCAAGTAACTGGGAGCTGGGACTACAGGTGCACGCCACGACACCTGGCAAATATTTAAATATTTTGTAGAGATAGTCACCCCATGCTGCCCAGGCTGCCCTCGAACCCCTGGGCTCAAGTGGTGCTCCTGTCTGGGCCTCCCAAAGTTCTGGGATTACAGGTGTGAGCCACTGCACTCAGTCTGGAGCTTTTGTTCTTTTTTTTTTTTTTTTTTTTTTTTTTGAGATGGAGTCTCGCTCTCTCCCCCAGGCTGGAGTGCAGTGGTGCGATCTCAGCTCACTGAAACCTCCGCCTCCCAGGTTCAAGCAATTCTTCCGGCCTCGGCCTCCCTAGTAGCTGGGATTACAGGCGTGTACACCACGTCTGGCTAATTTTTGTATTTTTTAGTAGAGAAGGGGTTTTGCCATGTTGGTCAGGCTGATCTTGAACTCTTGACTTCAGATAATCCACCGGCCTCGGCCTCCCAAAGTGCTGGGATTACAGGCGTGAGCCAGGCGTGAGCCACCGAGCCCAGCTGAGCTTTTGTTCTTAACCTCTGTATTGTGCTATGTGAAAGCTTAAAAAATGTATAGACCAGGAGAAGTGGCTCCTGCCTGTAATCCCAGAATTTGGGGAGGCCAAGGCAGGTGGATTGCTTGAGTCCAGGAGTTTGAGACTGGCCTGGGCAACATGACCAAAACCCTATCTTTACCAAAAAAACTCCCCAAACCAGAAAACAAAACAAAAATTAGCTAAGTATGGTGGCATACTCCTGTGGTCCTAGCTACTCAGAGGCTGTGGTGGGAGGATCGCTTGAGTCTAGGAGGTCGAAAGACTGTCAAAAAAAAAAAAAGTGGAAACACAGGAAGGGGAAGAAGGTTACTAAATGGTACAAGAAAAAGAACTTGGTCTTTTGTGTCAGGCAGGTCTTATTACAACTTTGGCTGGCTCTGCCATTTAGCAGTTAGTTGACCTAAGGCAAAGTACTTAAACTCTACAAATCTCAGATTTATCTGTAAAGTGAATGCAGTAGTATATACCCCATAGAATTCCTGGGAGGATTAAGTATGATGAAATATATCCATACAATGAGGGTTCATGGGATATGGCCAGCATTGTACCAAGTATTTTGTTTTATTTTATTTTTGAGACAGGGTCTTGCTCTGTCACCCAGGCTGGAGTGCAGTGACCTGAACATGGGTGACTGCAGCCTCGACCTCTTGAACTCAAGCAATCCTCCCACCTCAGCCTGCCGAGTAAATGAGACTACAGGCATGTGCCACCATGCCCAGCTTGATTTTTTTGATTTTTTTGTAAAGATGAGGTCTTGCTATATTGCCCAAGCTGTTCTCGAACTCCTAGGCTCAAGTGATCCTCCCACCTTGGCCTCACGAAGTGCTGGGATTACAGGTATGAGCCACCACACCCAGCCCTGTACAGAGTATTTTAATTGAGGCAATTTACTTAATCTTTACAACAATGCTTTGAGGCAGGGATGCTCATCATTCCTATTTTACAGATGAGAAAACTAAGATTTAGAGGATTAAGTACTTGCCCATGGTTACACAGTCAGCACATGGCAGAGCAGGAATTCAAACTCAGGAAGTATGAATCCACAGTATAAGCTCTCATCTGCTTTTACTGTGTTACCTTCCTCTGTGAAAAAGACTTGGAAGTTGGAGTTATATACAAGCTTGATAGGATTCTACAAGTATAGCAGCTTGCAAAAAGCCCTCAGTTCAGATTTAGGGTACATTTATACAAAAATGGCATCCAGTGCATACATTCTGTGCTGTTTTGGTTGCATCTGCAGTATTGTGTTCAAATTTATATGATACCTTTTATTTTTTATGTTTTTCTGAGATGGAGTTTCACTCTTGTTGACCAGGCTGGAGTGCAATGGCACAATCTTGGCTCACTGCAACCTCTGCATCCTGGGTTCAAGTGATTCTACTGCCTCAGCCTCCCTAGTAGTGGGATTACAGGCGCCCATCACCACGCCTGGCTAATTTTTTGTATTCTTAGCAGAGACGAGGTTTCACTGTGTTGGCCAGGCTGATCTCAAACTCCTGACCTCAGGTAATCCACTTGCCTTGGCCTCCCAAAGTACTGGGATTACAGGTGTGAGCCACCATGCCCAGCCCGGATGATACTTTTTTCTTTTTTTTTTTTTGAGACGGAGTCTTGCTCTGTCACCCAGGCTGGAGTGCAGTGGCCCGATCTCAGCTCACTGCAAGCTCCGCCTCCCAGGTTCATGCCATTCTCTTGCCTCAGCCTCCTGAGTAGCTGGGACTACAGGCGTCTGCCACATTGCCCGGCTAGTTTTTTGTATTTTTTAGTAGAGACGGGGTCTCGCCGTGTTAGCCAGGATGGTCTGGATTTCCTGACCTCGTGATCTGCCTGTCTTGGCCTCCCAAAGTACTGGGATTACCGGCGTGAGCCACTGCGCCCGGCCTTGGATGGTACCTTTCAACAGAGATACTGACAAAATGGAAATAACTATGATGATGCGAGAAATAATCTCAAGAGAGAAACAGCTGAAAATGTTTTGGTTTCATGAAGGCATGCAAGGGGTCAGAGAGGTAGATGTCTTTGGGAAAGGCTGTCCAGATAGGTTGACAGTACCTTGAGTCCTCTCTGTTTTCAGTCTTGCAGGTGCAAGGATTTCACTTTATCAGTTAATTAATATTCAGAGTTGATCATACTATACTCTTGGCAACTGACTCACTCTAACCAAACTTATAAGAGACCGTTGCATATACCAGAATGCCAATTAATTAACTTAAAATTACGAACATAAGCACCAAACAGATTTTATACATGTATTTGCTGATCAGAGCATCTTGTTTTTCTAGGAATTTTATCTTCTGTCAGCAAATATATATAAAAACTGTGGGCCGGGCATGGTGGCTCACGCCTATAATCCCAGTACTTTGGGAGGCTGAGGCGGGTGGATCACCAGAGGTCAGGAGTTTGAGACCAGCCTGGCCAACATGGTGAAACCCCGTCTCTACTAAAAATACAAAACTTAGCTGGGTATGGCGGCAGATGCCTATAATCCCAGCCAGGAGGTGGGCAAAGGTTGCAGTGAGCCGAGATCACACCACTGCGCTCCTTGCTGGGCAACAGAGTGAGACTCCATCTCAAGAAAGAAAAAAACAAAACAAAACCCAAAAACTGTGGTAGGCTAAAAGTTGTTAGCTTGCAGGTAGGGTAAAACTGCAGACTTGTCTCAATTTCTGATTTAAAGTCATGATCAAAAATTGATATCTCATATTTCATTCACTGATTTTATTAACTTGATTTATATCTCATTTTATTAATTTGTTTTATTCATATGAACATTTTATATGTGGTTTTGAACATTTGTATCTTGTCAAATCTGCAGTATAAACAAATATAAACAAATCTGCAAATTGTTTATATTCTTTACCCATTTTTTAACTGGGTTATTTTATGTTTTTTATTTATTTTATTTTATTTTATTTTTGAGATGGAGTCTCGCTTTGTCACCCAGGCTGGAGTGCAGTGGCGTGATCTCGGCTCACTGCAAGCTCTGCCTCCTGGGTTCACACCATTCTCCTGCCTCAACCTCCCGAGTAGCTGGGACTACAGGTGCTCGCCAACACACCCAGTTAATTTTTTGTATTTTTAGTAGAGACAGGGTTTCACCGTGTTAGCCAGGATGGTCTTGATCTCCTGACCTCGTGATCCTCCTGTCTTGGCCTCCCAAAGTGCTGGGATTACTGTGCCCGGCCAGGTTATTTTTAATTGAATAGTAGATTTCTACTTGGTTGTTTTTTATTGATCAATATGTTCTCTTTTTTTCTTTGAGACAGAGTCCCGCTCTGTTGCCCAGCAAGGAGCGCAGTGGAGCAATTTTAGCTCACTGCAGCCTCTGCTTCCTGGATTCAAGCAATTCTCCTGCCTCAGCCTCCCGAGTAGCTGGGACTACAGGTGTGCACCACTACACCCAGCTAATTTTTTTGTATTTTTAGTAGAGACAGGGTTTCGCCATGTTGGCCAGGTGGTCTCGAACTCCTAACCTCAGGTGATGTGCCTGCCTCAACTTCCCAAAGTGCTGGGATTACAGGTATGAGCCATGCGCCTGGCCTGATCAGTAGGTTCTTTATATAAACATATATCTAAAATATTCAGCTAAATTTAGATAATTCAGATAAAATGTTAAACATATTATATGTATAAATAATAAAATAGACTGGGTGTGGTGGCTCACGCCTGTAATCCCAGCACTTTGGGAGGCCAAGGCAGGTGGATCACCTGAAGGCAGGAGTTCAAGACCAGCCTGGCCAACATGGTGAAACCCCATCTCTACTAAAAATACAAAAATTAGCTGGGCCTGGTGGCGCGTGCCTGTAATCACAGCTACTTGGGAGGCTGAAGCTGGAGAATTACTTGAACCCAGGAGGCAGAGGTTGCAGTGAATCGAGATCGCGCCATTGCACTCCAGCCTGGGCAACAAGAGCGAAACTCCATCTCCATAACTAAAATAAAAAAATAAAAAATAAAGTGAGGTATACATTTTTGTTATACCAGTTGCAAATATTTTATGTAATAATTCAGTTACTTCTCGACTTTATGTACCTTCCGTCATCCGTGAATGAATTTGGCTCTCTGTTTTATTAAGATAGCTTTCTCCCTCCAAGGTTTTAAATATATTTTCCCATTTTTTCTGTTATTCTTTTTTTTTGTTTTTTCGAGACAGAGTTTCGCTCTTTCTGCGAAAGAGACTGCGCCCGGCCTTGGTTATTCTTCTAAAATAGAAGAATTCTTGGTTATTCTTCTAAAAACTACATTTTAGGCCGAGGCGGGCGGATCACAAGGTCAGGAGATCGAGACCACGGTGAAACCCCGTCTCTACTAAAAATACAAAAAATGAGCCGGGCGCGGTGGCGGGCGCCTGTAGTCCCAGCTACTCGGGAGGCTGAGGCAGGAGAATGGCGTGAACCCAGGAGGCGGAGCTTTCAGTGAGCCAGGATCGCGCCACTGCACTCCAGCTTGGGCGACAGAGCGAGACTCCGTCTCAAAAACAAAACAAAACAAAACTACATTTTAAATACAAATGGAGGTGCTGTTCTGGGCCCAGCTCCGGCTCGGCGCGAGTAGGAGGAGGAGCTGTGGTGGTGCTGCCGGTCCCCGGGGAGAGGAGGCGCGGGCGGCTCCGGGACCAGGGAGCCTGGTGACGCGGCGCGCCCAGGCCCGGGTCGGGTTGCCTAGGCGCTGCCGCGGCGGCAGATGCTGCTGCAGCTGCTGCTGGGTCGGGGACTTCGAGTCATGGCCTCGGCCTCGGCTTCCTCCTCTAGGAAGGAGGCGGAGGAGAGGCACCGGCCAGACAGTGTGAGCGTGCTCACCTTCGTCCTGCTGCTCACGCTCACCATCCTCACCATATGGCTCTTCAAGCACTGCGGGGTGCACTTACTGCATGAGACCGGGCTGGCCATGATGTGTGGGCTCATCGTTGGGGTGATCCTGAACTATGGTACCCCTTCCACCAGTGGCCGCAAATCACTCAACTGCACTCAGGAAGATCGGGCCTTTAGCACTTTAGTAGTGAATGTCAGAGGTTAAGTTCTTCGAATACACTCTGAAAGGAGAGATCAGCCCTGGCAAGATTAACAGCCTAGAGCAGAATGACATGCTATGGAAGGTAACATTCGACCCAGAGGTATTTTTCAACATTCTTCTGCCTCCAGTTATTTTCCACGCTGGATACAGCTTAAAGATACACTTTTTTAGAAATCTCGGGTCACATCTTCTTGGGGTCTGTTGTTTCATGCTCCCTTATTGGAAATCTCATGTATGGTATGGTGAAGCTCATGAAGATTATGGGACAGCTCTCAGATAAATTTTACTACGCACATTGTCTCTTTTGAGGAGTAATCATCTCTGCCACTGACCCAGTGACTGTGCTGGCGATATTTAATGAATTGCATGCAGACATGGATCTTTATGTACTTCTGTTTGGAGAGAGCATCCTAAATGACGTTGTTGCCCTTGTACTTTCCTCATCTATTGTTGCCTACCAGTCAGCAGGACTGAACTTCAACTCACGCCTTTGATGCTGCTGCCTTTTTAAAGTCAGTTGGCATTTTTCTAGGCATATTTAGTGGCTGTTTTACCATGGGAGCTGTGACTGGTGTTGTGACTGCTTTAGTGACCAAGTTTACCAAACTGGACTGCTTCCCCCTGCTGGAGAGGGCGCTCTTCTTCCTCATGTCCTGGAGCACATTTCTCTTGGCAGAAGCCTGCGGATTTACAGGCGTTGTAGCTGTCCTTTTCTGTGGAATCACACAAGCTCATTACACCTACAACAATCTGTCGGTGGAATCAAGAAGTCAAACCAAGCAGCTCTTTGAGGTGTTACATGTCCTGGCAGAAAACTTCATCTTCTTCTGCATGGTCCTGATGCTATTTACCTTCCAGAAGCGCGTTTTCAGCCCCATTTTCATCATTGGAGGTTTCGTTGCCGTCTTCCTGGGCAGAGCTGCCCATATTGACCCACTCTCCCTCTTCCTCAACTTGGGCAGAAGGCATAAGATTGGCTGGAATTTCCAACACATGATGTTTTCAGTCCTCAGGGGAGCAATGGCGTTTGCGTTGGCCATCCGTGACATGGCATCCTATGCTCGCCACATGATGTTCACCACCATGCCTTTCATCATGTTCTTCACCATCTGGATCATTGGAGGAGGCACGACACCCATGTTGTCATGGCTTAATATCAGAGTTGGCCTCGAGGAGCCTTCCAAAGAGGACCACAATGAACACCACTGGCAGTACTTCAGAGTTGGTGTTGACCCTGATCAAGATCCATCAGCCAACAACGACAACTTTCAAGTCTTACAAGGGGACAGCCCAGATTCTGCCAGAGGAAACCGGACAAAACAGGAGAGTACGTGGATATTCAGGCTGTGGTACAGCTTTGATCGTAATTACCTGAAGCCCATCCTCACACACAGTGGCTCCCTGCTAGCCGCCACTCTCCTGCCTGGTGTAGACACAGCGGCTCTCCGCTAACCTCCACTCTCCTGCCTGGTGTAGACATAGCGGCTCCCCGCTAACCGCCACTCTCCCTCCTGGTGTAGACACAGCGGCTCTCTGCTAACCGCCACTCTCCCACCTGGTGTAGAGACAGTGGCTCTCCTAACCGCCACTCTCCTGCCTGGTGTAGCTTGCTAGCTCGATGTCTGACCAGTCATGGAGGTGTACGATAACCAAAAGCCGCTGAGAGAGGGAAACTCTGATTTTATTCTGACTGAAGGCGACCTCACATTGACCTACGGGGACAGCACAGTGACTGCAAATGGCTCCTCAGGTTCCCATACTGCCTCCACGGGTCTGGAGGGCAGCTGGAGAATGAAGAACAGCTCAGAGGAAGTGCTGGAGCGGGACCTGGGAATGGGAAACCAGAAGGTTTCGAGCCGGGGTGCCCAGCTAGTGTTTCCTCTGGAAGATAATATTTGACTTTCCCCCCAAACCCTGGCACGATGGAGGAGGCTCCCAAAGGGGTGAGGATAGCTTCAAACCCTAGTGTTGCTTGAGGTGGGGCAGTGACTAGATTGAACTAACTTTTCTATTTTGTTGGGGTCTGAAGCTATTGTAACACTTAAAATTTAACTCGCAATGCAGATGGTGAGGCAAAAGTGTCTCTAAATTCAGACAAACGTAGACCTATTTCTACTTTTTTTTTCACATAGTAGTGCGCTGTTTCAGAGTTAAGCAAACAAAAAGTAGCATACTTTAATGGTCAGTATCTGAACAAGGCAGGGCAGGTGCTGTGTGGAGGGCTTCCTCTTACGAGAGGCTGCATGTCAGTACACAGTGGTGCAAGTCAAGCTGACCACAGAAATATCAAGTTAGGGGAGAACAGGCTGGAAGAAAGATCAGAAGGAAGGCAATTGAGATTGGACCTCCAGAGATTATGGGAAACTGTTGTTAAATGGAACAGAAAACATGAAAAAATAATAGGAGTGGAGGCTCTGGCAATGAAGGCTGTGTGACTGCAACCTCATATCAGGATTCCTGACTTTTATGCTACCTCTGTTTCTTCTAGACTGAAGATTTGAAAATACATCCACAAACATTTCAACATGTAAAAAAGAATTATAGTTCCTTCTCTGGAGAGGTCCATAAAGAAGTAGTTATAATATGTTTAAAACCAGACCAGGCGCGGTGGCTCACACCTGTAATCCCAACACTTTGGGAGGTCGAGGCAGGCGGATCATCTGAGGTCAGGAGTTCGAGACCAACCTGGCCAACATGGTGAAACCCTGTCTCTACTAAAAAATACAAAAATTAGCCGGGTGTCGTGGCAGGTGCCTTAATCTCAGCTACTTGGGAGGCAGAGGCAGGAGAATCATTTGAACCCGGGAGGCTGAGGTTGCAGTGAGCCTAGATAAAGCCATTGCACTCAAACCTGGGGGACAAGAGCGAGACTTCTCTTAAATAAATAAATTAAATAAATAAAATTTAAAAACCAAAGGCAAATAGCATTACACTGTTATTTTTTAGTTAATCTGAAGAAAGGAGGTATTTAGAAACTGATGATGGTATCACTGCAAAAAGCATTAAACTTTGAGGGCTACCATATGAGCTGACAGCCTAGGAAATAGTAAGACTGAGGTATCTACTGTGGATTTAGAAATAGCACCAAATTTTGTAGGATGCTATTATCTGGGGAAGGGAAGGCAGCAAGAAACCTGCAAGGCAACAGGCTAGAATTCAGAGGGAAAGAAATCTCTAGGCAAAAAATTAACTGCAAAGAAATACAAGATAGTAGTCTCAAAACTGGATAGAATTCCGAACTTTGAGCTGACAAATGCATGAGATTTCAGTGGCCGCATGAGGAATCAGAGGCGAGTCAATGGAACGTTAAGTATTTTCAACCCACTAGAAGGTCCTGTCTTCTGTAAGTTTAAGAATCCGAGTATCTTTATGCCATTGAGTGCTGTGCAGAGAAGGGTCATTTTCCCTTTATCTGGGGAGGCTGCTGCACCAGCTTAACATGTGGGTGTGATTTGTAAGTTAGGTTTTCAGTTTGGGTTCTTTCTGTATGAGCTGTTCTGTCCACCCACACCTGTAGTGCTGAAATACTGAAAGACCTTTCGGGAAAAGTTTGAGTTTCTCCCCATGTTTCTGTGCTTCAGCAGTAGCATTTTTTTTTGGCAACCCAATTTCTAAAAAATGCTTTCAATAACGTGGGCATTTTCTTATTATGGCAGAAAAAATAGTGTCCCAGTCTAGTCCACCCATAATGAAATCAGCCATTTAATCTTCTCAATTAGCATGTTTAATGGTTAATTTTTAAATAAGACATTGCTTCACAACGTTTTCATTTTTTATTTTTATTTTTTTGAGATGGAGTCTTGCTCTGTTACCCAGGCCGGAGTGTAGTGGTATGACCTTGGCTCGCTGCAATCTCTGCACGCCTGGGTTCACGTGATTCTCCTGCCTCAGCCTCCCTAGTAGCTGGGATTGCAGGCACCTGCCACCACGCCTGGCTAATTTTGTATTTTCAGTAGAGATGGGGTTTTGCCATGTTGGCCAGGCTGGTCTCGAACTCCTGACTTCAGGTGATCCACCTGCCTTGGCCTCCCAAAATGCTAGGATTACAGGCATGAGCCACCACACCTGGCCTGCTTCACAACTTTGTGTTCGAATTGATAATGTGTGCAAATCAGGAAAATATATATTTAATTATTTGAGCCATATGAATTTGCTGATATTCAATCATTTTGTAAAAACAGGAGTGGCAATTTCATATGGTTCAATATAAAATTGAGGCCGGGCACAGTGGCTTACACTCATAATCCCAACACTTTGGGAGGCCGAAGCAGGATGATCGCTTGAGCTCAGGAGTTTGAGACCAGACTGGGCAACATGGCAAAACCCTGTCTCTACAAAAATACGAAGATGAGACAGGCATGGTAGCACATACCTTTAGTTCAGTTCTAAGTACTTGGGAGGCTGAGGTGGGAGGATCGCTTGAGCCCAAGAGGCAAAGGTTGCAGTGAGCCAAGATCATGCCACTGGAAACCAGTCTGGGCAAAAGAGTGAGAACCTGTCTCAAAAAACAAACAAACAGACAGACAGACAGACAGACAGACAAATTTATTTTTATGTATGGTACGAGAAAGGGATTTGTTTTGTTTTGTTTTTGAAATGGAGTCTTGCTTTGTTGCCCAGGCTGGAGTTCAGTGGCACCATCTTGGCTCACTGCAACCTCTTCTTCCTTTGTTCAAGTGATTCTCTTGTCTCAGCCTCCTGAGTAGCTGAAATTACAGGCACCGGCCACCACACCCGGCTATTTTTTGTATTTTTAATAGAGACAGGGTTTCACCATGTTGGCCAGGCTGGTCTCAAACTCCTGACCTCAGGCGTTCTGCCCCACTTGGCCTCCCAAAGTGCTGGGATCACAGGCATGAGCCACTGTGCCCAGTCTTAGAAAGGGATTTAATTTGTTTTTTTCCTTCCAAATGGATAGCTCCTTGTCCCAACACTATCTATTAGTCTGTCATTTCCCAAGTAATTTAAATGTCTCCTTTAACACATACTAAGATTACACACATACACACAAATGGACACACACACATATATATGTGTGTGTGTATATATATATATATTTTTCTGTACTTTTTATTCTATTCATATTGATCTATTGGTCTATTTTTTCATGGTGCTATTTCAATTATTGTGACTTTACAACATAGTTGACATCTAGTAAAGTTCTTTTACTAATGAACCTTAACTTTATTGGCACAACTCATAGATGAACTTTAAAATTAACTTGCCAATTCTACAAAGTATCCTGTTGTAATTTTGATAAAAATTATATTACATTTATTATTTAATTTGGGGGTATAATATCTGTATACTATTGAGTCTTTTCATCTATAAATATCTTTTATGGCCTTCATTAAAATTATATGGTTATCCTCAACAATATTCTTTTCTTTTTTTTTGAGACAGGGTCTCACTCTGTCATCCAGGCTGGAGTGGAGTGGCACAATTTCTGCTCACTCAACTTCCCAGGTCCAGGTGATCCTCCCACTTCAGCCTCCAAAGTAGCTGGGACTACAGGCATGTGCCACCACACCTGGCTGATTTTTTGTAGAGACTAGGTTTCGCTACGTTGCCCAGGCTGTTCTTGAACTCTTGTACTTAGGTGATCCGCCCACGTCAGCCTCCCAAAGTGATAGGGTTACAAGCATAAGCTACCATGCCTGGCAACAGCTTTCATATTTTTAAGTTTTTTTCCTAAGTAACCCAAGGTCTATTGAAATTGAATATAGCTTTCTTTTCTATTACATATTTAAATAGATTTTTTCTGATTTTAGAAAAGCTGTAGATTTTTATATGTTAATCTTGTTTCCTTTCTGAAAGTTTTAATTAGTCCATACAGATTACATGTGATTCATTGGATTTTCTAGGTATAAATCTACCTTGCCAATATTCATACTTATTTCTTTTTTTTTCTGGTATTTTTGCATTGCCTGGTAACTCTAGGACAATGTCTACTATTGATGATAGAAGTAGGCATCATTATGTGTTGTTTCTGAGTTCTATGGAGTTGTGGTCTAATGTTTTGTTCTTCAGAATGATGTTTGGAGATTGGCAAAATGTTGATTATTGTTGAAGATGAGTGACAGGTCCATAGCAACCATTAATCTATTTTCTCTATGCTTGTGTATGTTTGAAAATTTCCATAATAAAAGAGTTAAATTCTACAAAGAGTCAAATTAAAAAAAAGGAACAAGACTTATTTTAGGTTTTTGGTAGAAACCCCTTTTCAGGCCGGGTGTGGTGGCTCACACTTGTAAACCCAGTACTTTGGGAGGGTGAGGTGGGCAGATCACCTGAAGTCAGTAGTTCGAGACCAGCCTGGCCAGCGTGGTGAAACCTTGTCTCTACTGAAAATACAAAAGTTAACTGGGCGTGGTGGTGGGCATCTGTAATCCCAGCTACTTGGGAGGCTAAGGCAGGAGAATTGCTTGCACCCTGAAGGTGGAAGTTGCAGTGAGCCGAGATCACACCACTGCACTCCAGCCTGGGTGACAGAGTGAGACTCTATCTGGAAAAAAAAAAAAAAAAAAGAAAAGAAAAAGAAAATAATCTTTTCCTAGTTTATTGTAAATTATTTTCTTAGAAATGGATGGAGAATTAATTGTATCATCAGAAAAATATCTTTTAAAAGAAAAGATATCACCGGAACCATCCATCTCAGAAAACCAAGGAAAATAAATGAGACTTTCAGTATTAAAAATGACCAAATATTTA